ATCTGCCAGCAGGAGGTGAACAAATGCATCCGCATTTGCTACTTGACCTCCTGGATGGTGTTGCAACTTGTATTTAGTGTTAGAGCCCACTGTTGAATTCGGCCTGAGGCTATGGGTGGCGCTGCCTTGACATCTTTGAATATACTTATTTTGGGTTTGTGGTCCATTATTATTATAAATTTAAGTCTGTAAAGGTATTGATGGAACTTCCTGACTCCAAATATGACCACCAAACCTTACTTCTCTATCTGGGTGCATTTATGCACCGCATTAGCCAAAGTCCTGGATGCACATGCTATTGGGCGGTCTTCTCCATTAGGCCACCTATGAGCTAATACTACATTGATGCCTTAAGGGGAGGCATCGCATGTGAATGCTCGATCTCGCTTGGGAGCGGCTTCCGAGCACCTTAAGAGGATGACAGCTGTTCCTTCACAGTGTGAAAGCTGACTATTCAGCCCATTGAGTCCACAGCAACCCTCGGAGCATCCCACCCAGAGCACCCCCCCATCCCTGTAACCCTGCATTTCCCACGGCCAATTCACCTAACCTGCACATCTTTGGACAGTGGGAGGAAACCGGAGCATCTGGAGGAATCCCATGCAGACACGGGGAGAATGTGCAAATTCCACACAGTCACCCAAACGAGGAATCGAACCTGGATCCCTAGCTCTGTGAGGCAGCAGTGCTGACCACTGAACCGCCATGCTGCCCTTTCTGAAGGCTGACTGCTTTTTAAGGCTGACCTCTTTCTAAGAGTTGATGCAAAGGTGCCAGATTATGTATGAACTTTCCGTAGTAGTTCACCAGACCAAGGAAAGACCTAAGCTCTGGTACGGACATGGGAGCCGCTACAACTTTGATCACCCGCAATTTACCTTCCTACAGGTGTAACCTTTGTCGATTCTGTAGCCCAAGTCGGTCACAGTTTTCCCTTCTATGGCATATGCCTGCCTGGGAGAAACATCTAAGGACTATGTCCAAGTTCTCTAAGTGCTCCTTTCTGGTCTTCCCTGTTATTAGCACGTCATCTAGACAAATGGCGACCTGGGGTAGACCTTGTAAAATGTTTTCCATCTTCCACTGAATAATTGCACGGGCTAACGATGCCCCAAATGGCAATATTGGTACAAACCCTTATGGGTGTTAATTGTAGATACTTCTGGGAGTCTTTACCTAACCACAATTGCAAGTATGCATGGCTCAAGTCCAACTTCATGAAGGACATCCTGCCCTGCCAGCTTTGTGTACAAATCCTCTATGCAAGAGATTGAGTATTTATCCAGCTGCGGAAAGCGGTTTACCATTTGTTTAAAATCCCACAAAGGCGAAACGACCCATCAGGCTCCAAAATTGGCATAACTGGTGCTGCCCATTGCGCAAACTGGACTGATTTGATGTTTCCTTTGCTTTCCAGCCTTCTGATTTCTGCCTCTGCTTTCGCCCGTAAGGCAAATAGCACTGGCTGGGCCTTGCTTCCTGATCAAGGTGTCCTTGGCTCCTTTAATATTCCCTAGGCTTTCTGAACAGCTGCTTCTCATTACAGACCAGAACTGACATTCTTAAGCGCAAATTTAAGGGTTGGATTCCAGAGCAAATTTTGTTAAAGACTGGTTCTGCGATCACTGAAACAGCTGCACTGGTATTGACCTCCGTTAGAATTGGCTGACCATTTAAGCAGACATGTTACAGAGATAGTAGGAACTGCCGATGCTGGAGAATCTGATATAACAAGGTGTAGAGCTGGATGAACACAGCAGGCCAAGCAGCATCAGAGGAGCAGGAACAGAGGAGCAGGATGGAGTCAAAGGATGGAAGGTTGGCTTGCGTGATGAACTGGGCTGTGTTCACGACTTTCTGTAGTTTCTTACAGTCCTGGGCAGAACAGTTGTACCAAGCTGTCATGCATTTGGATAGGATTTTTTTTTT